CTCATGGAGCGAGCGTCATGGTTCCAGTTCGGCTTGGTCGGCGCTGACGCTTCAGGAGGGGGTCTCATGGAGCGTGCGTCGTGTAATTCATTCCCACACTGGTTGCCCTGGTGCTTCACGAGGGGTTTCATGGAGCGGGGTATTCACCTTAATTACAGCTCAGTTGTTTGATGAGGGGACTCATGGAATGCGCGTTATACTTCCAGTTCGGCTGGGTCGGCGCTGTTGCTTCAGGGGGGGTCTCATGAAGCGTGCGTCATGTAATTCACCTCGCCCTGTTTCTTCATGAGGGGTCTCATGGTGTGGTACTTCCCACTTGATTAGCTCGGTTGCTTCGCGCGGGGGACTCGTGGAGCGAGCATCAGTCAAGTTCGGCCTCGTTTGTCCTGTTGCCTCATGAGGGGTCTCATGGAGCGTGCGCTCTGGCATTAAAGTCGGCTTTGTTGGCACTGTTGCTTGAGGGGCCTCCTGGAGTCTACATGGACTTGATTATTGCTCCGTTGTTTCATGAGGGGACTCATGGAGGGAGTGTCATAGTCTACATTGTTGCCTCTTGTGGAGCGTGCGTTGTGGAAATCATTTCCGCCCTTGTTGCACTGTGCTTCATGAGGGGTCTCACGCAGTGGTATATTCAAGTTGATTAGCTCGGCTGCTTCATGAGGGGGACTCGTGGAGCGAGCATCAGTCAAGTTCGACCTTTTTTTCACTGTGCCTCATGAAGGGTCTCATGGAGCGTGCGCTCTGTAATGAAAGCCGGTTTTGTTGGCACTGTTGCTTCATGAGGGGTCTCATGGAATCTCCATGGACTTGAGACTTGAGTTGCTCAGTTGATTCATGAGGGGCCTCATGGAGGGAGCGTCATATAGTTCAAGCTCGGCGGGGTCGGCGCTGTTGCCTCTTAAGCAAGGTCTCAGGGAGCGTGCGTTGTGTACTTAAATTCATGTCGACATTGGTTGCACTGTTGGCTCATGAGGGGTCTCGTGGTAGGGTACACTTTGCTTGATTGGCTCGGTGGCTTCATGAGGGGTACTTATGGAGCGAGCATCATTCCAGTGCGACCTGGTTTGCGCTGTTGCCTCGAGGGGTCTCATGGAGCGTGCGTTCTGAAGCTTAGCCTTTGGCTCGACTTGGTCGGCGCTCAAGTGCCATGCGGTCTCATGGAATATGCGTTTATAAACCAAGTTTCACTTGGCTGGCGCCGTTGCCTCATGAGGGGTCTCATGGCTTGTTCAGTTCACCTCGAACGACTCGGTCATTTCATGGCCAGACTCAGTTCATGAGGAATTTCAAACTGATGGAGACTGGATTGGATCCGTCCTTCCACGCATGAGGGGGCTCATGAAAGGAGCATCATCGTCTGTGTTCGACTTCGTTGCTGCTGTTGCTTCATGAGGGGTCTCGTGTGATCCGCGCAGTCGCTTCAAGTGCTCTCTCGGAGCGTTAATTCAATTTGGCCAGTGCTGTTCCTCCGGGTCAATCTCGAGTTATTCAATTTGACTCGGTTGGTGCGGTTACTTCATTGAGAGGACTCATGTTGCGAGCATCAGTTCCAGCTCCACTTGGTTGGCGCTGTCACTTCTTGAGGGGCCTTCGGAAGCGTGCTTTTTAATACCAAGTTGGTTTGTTCCGCGCTGTTGCTTCACGTGAGGCGTTTCATGGAACATGCGTGCACATTTCAAGTTCGACTTGTTTGGCGTTGTTGCTTCATGAGGTGTTTGGAGCGTGCGCTCACATATCAAGTTTGACTTGTTTGGCACTGTTGTTTCATGAGGGGACTCATGGACTGCGCATCCACAACGCTCGACTTGGTCGGCGGTGTTTGTTCATGAGGGGTCTCACGTGTTTTGCACAATTGCTTCAGGTGCTTCAGGGCGTTTCCTGGAGCGCTGATTCAATATGGCTAGCGCTGTTCCTCCATGAAGGCTTTCCTGGTCCATTCCACGTGACTAGTTTGGGGCGGCTGCTTTATGAGGGGACTCATGGAGCGAGCATCAGTTCAGATCCCACTGGGCTGGCGCCGCTGCTTCTTGAAGGGCCTCATGGTGCGTACGTTCACATCCCAAGTTTGGCTTGGTCGCTGGTGTTGCTTCATGAGGTGTTTCATGGAGCGTGCATTCACACATCAACTTCCACTTGGTTGGCGCTGTTGCTTCATGAGGTGTTCCATGGAGCGTGCGTCACATATCAAGCTTTACTTGTTTGTTGCGGTTGTTGTTCAAGTGGGGACTCATGGACCCAGCATCATAGTCCAAGCTCGGCGCTGTTTGTTCATGAGGGGTCTCCTGTGTTTTGCACAGTTGCTTCATGGGGTCTTGGAGTTTGGCCAGCGCTTTCATGGCTGATTTAATTTTGACTTGATGCGGTGCTTAATGAGGGGACTGATGGAGCGTGCGTCCGCTCAAGTTCCGCTGGATTGGGGTGCTGCTGCTTCATGGGGGTCTCATGAAGCGTGCATTACAACACCAAGTTTGGGTTGCTCTGCTGCCTCATGCGAAATCTCCTGGGGCTGCGTTCGTATAGCAGGTTTAACTTGGTTGGTGCTATTGCTTCATGAGGAGTTTCATGGAGCGTACGTTCACTTTTCCAGCTCAACTTGTTTGGCGCTGTTGCTTCATGAGGTGTTTCAGGGAGCGTGCGTTCACATATCCCGTTAACGACTTCCTTGACACTGTTGGTCACGCGGGGAGTCATGGACTGAGCATCGTACTCCACGCTCGACTTGGTCGGCGGTCCCATATGTTGCACAGTTGCTCCAGGGATTCTCTTGGAGCGTTAATTCCATGTGGCCAGCGCTCTTATTGCTCCATGAAGTTTTCATGGTTCATTTATG